TGTCGCTTATCGTTGATATCACACTGGGCTTTTGCATTTAGAAGGGGTTATTTAACCATATTCAGATAGAGATTCAACCAAAACTGTTTGTGGCTGCAACGTCCATGTTGTGTAGCCCGTAGCCATGTCGGTACTTGGCCACCTTTGCTATGGTTTAGATTATGCGGACAGCGATTCTATTTTTTCTAAAGAGACTATGCCCTTCAAGGGCCATAAAATTTCTTAAGCCAACGCAGAATGCCCCATTTTCTACCGTTAGAAATTGTCGGAGCAGTCCTTGCTGTTTAAGACTGAGATATCTGCTTAAACAAGAGTATTTGCAGACCTCATAATGTTCCTGCTAACATTGGTCACATCCCCCTTCTGTGCTTCGTGTTCCATCTTGACTTGAATGAGATCTTCACCAATCATTTTCACCTAAAGCGACATTATGAAAGGATAAACACTCGTGGTTGCAAAAAGCGTACCTGAATTTCTTTGGGTGTAAACAACCTTGCATCCAAGCCAACTTCAAAGTGCTTTGAATCCTCTACGACTTTCACAAATTCGTCATTTTTTTGAAGAGGCCAATCCCAGACTTTGTCGCGTTTAACGACAATATCAGCCGCCGCCATAATATGTGCTTGAATAACAGACAACCCCTTGCTTAGAGATGTCACTTCGCATCTGGATCATCAGCTATTTATACCAGGCTGTGTGCGCTGTACTCTGTGCATGGACGGATCCCCAGAAAACAAGTCAATACAAAAAATCATAAGCTCTCTTACACTGGGAGCATAATAAATTTGATGTCAGTATTTACTTTCTTCTTCTGATACTTCCATAAATCTGCCCAGCTACAAGGGAAGTATGAGGTGCTAAATAAGCGCACCTAACAAAATTCATGGATTCTGCTCTCCACAAAATAGAGATCAGACATGTAGTACAGACGCTTTTACGTTCAATGTAAGCGGTTTCCAACAATTACTTCTTTATAGCAATTACTTACCATGAATTATTAATGATACCACAGTTTGAGCAAATGAAGAATTCTGTGTAGCATACCAGCCATTCTTATTAGCCGATTTTTTAGATGTTTCCAATCCTCGTATCATGGTAGTTTTTCACTTTATATCAGACCAATTTGAATTTGTATTAGTTAAGCAAACAAGCATAAAGGGGCTTAGCACAAAAGTTGAGCGATGTTTTGGGATTATTCAT